ACAACACACAAACACAGCGGCTGCCTCATGTTCCTGGCCCCCATGGCCAACGACTTTCATACACTTATTCATTGCTCACCCTGCGTCCCTGTGGATGCGTCCGTTGGTCTTCTCAAACTCGGTGGCCTCTTTGGCCGTCTCTCTGAAGCTGGCTACGTCCACGGGGCCCACCTGTACGCTCGTGCGGGCGGTGACGGGCCGCCGGGAGGCCAGCAGGTTGGCCGTGTGGGTGATCCTCCCAGCAGCTGTCGCTCCCTCTGGTGTGCCCGTGACCGATCTGGGGTTGGATGGGTGCAGTGTGGGGTAGAATGGGGCCGTCCGGTCGCCCTCTGAGTTGAGGGCCCGCATGTAGAAGGACGCCAGGGGCTCGGACTCGATGGCCTCGATGGGGTCCATCCGACCCACTCGCGTCAATGTCGTCATGTCGCGGTACGTCGTGCGGTAACCATGCTGCTGGCTCCACGACGGGAGGCCGGGGTAGAATGACGGCTGTCCACTCACTTCATTCGCAGAGGTGTCAGCCGCACCAGCCGACTCGCCCTTGGGGCCCTTGGCGAGGGACAAAGAGAGCTTCTCGACGCCGCTGCCGCTGAGGAAGCTGCCCCGCCCACCCGCACCGCCATCCCTGAACGCCAATCCAATCCATTGACACACCCCGACCGTGACACGTTCACGCACATTCTCCTTTGCATGATGTTGCAAGGCGTGCCTGGTTCGGGGGACGGCTGTTCTGCACGACATCTCACGGTAGGAGGTGCGGTAGGCGTGCTGCTTCGTCCAGGGCATCCGGCCCTCATACAAAGCCACATTCGTCCCGCCTAACCACACACGCAATTGAAACAGCGTCGACATGACCGAGTTGTGCCGTCATATGCACCGCGTCCGTATCGACTGACCGAGTGGGCGGCCGACGGATGAGTAGCGGCTGACAAAAGGGGGGCAGGCAGCGCTCGTGTGAGGCCGGTGAGATGAGGAGGCCTCCACCATAGCGAACTGGAGGGAAGGCAGAGGTCTCGACGTGGCCCCCCAAAAGCTTGGCCCCGCGACTCCCGGCCAGCTTCACGGATCGACAACTGGAAGAGGAATGAACGAATCTCCGTAGATGCGACAAGATGAACCGCACTCGCTCTTTGCTACCAGTACTGCTATGCGCGACTGTTCTTGGAAAATCGGTGGCAGCAATCTCCGGCTCCCCTCACGGTAAGGAGTCTCGTTCATCCATTTGGCTGTACCTATTGGAATGGCTGCAGCTTTTCCAACACGGCCACACAACAGGGAGAGGCCCACCTTCATCTTGTCCAATGGCGCCGGCCTTGCTCCTTTCCTATCAGGGCTATCTGCCCTCCCACCCACAGGGAAGCATGTTATTGCAGCAGCTGTCGCAAGATGCAGCTCTCTACTACTGTTCTATCCCATCGGTGAGCGAATAAGGGCAGAGCCACGCCGTCTCTCAGCAGTGTGCTTCGGCAGACACGATCAAGTGTCGGACTCAGGCCATTAAAGTGGGACCAACGCCTTCGCAGAGGGCCGGCTCGCTGTATCGTGGCGCTGTCACAAACATTATCGTGAGCGATCGTGGAATCACAGGCCGCTGTTCCGTATGCATGTCCGGCGAGCTGCTTTTTAGGTTGGGGAAGTGCCGTACATCATGATCACGTTTGCTTTATTCCGAATCTTCAGTACTACTTTGGCGGGCTGGCTGCCATGTAAGTCGTCGAATGAAAATGAATCCGCTGGCAATCCCAGACCTACTCATCTTGACAGGTCTGCCGCCTGCTTTGGTCTCTTTCTTTGCGGCGCTGATCGGAGAAACGTTCGGGTAACAACAACGCCGTGATGATAAATACAGCAGACATGCGACCGTCACATGTGTTGTGGATCTTCCCACAGGTGTTTGTGGTAAAGATGAATGATCACACAGTCGCATACCCCTGTACGGCCGCACCTTTTGCCAGGCTGGTACCAAACGAGATCGTCAAACAGCGGATCCAGAGTGGAAGGCAGCCGTCAATCTTCGATGCCGTGCGTAGTATTTCCACTCAAGGAGGCTTCTATCGAGGCTTCATCAGGTGTGTGTATGCGAGAGATGGACGGGACGGAACAAAACTGGTAACATATCTAAGGCCGTCTGATGTGCAGCCATATCGCGAGAGATTCGACATTCAGGTGATTCAAACTTCAAAGACTCTTGCGACCTCACTTCATCCAGTCACAGGTTGATTGTTGAGCTGTCAGGGGCCTGCAGCTCTCTTCGTATGGAGCAATTCGGAGGATTGCTGCTGGGTGAGCAGCACTTCAGCTGAGGTGATCATTTGATCATTTGGCGATTCCACCAGGAACCTGGCGAAAAATCCACTCTTTTTAGGGATGCTCGCTGGATCTCTGGCAGGCGCCGCGACAAATCCTTTGGATGTCGCGAAGGTAGACGAGGAGAAAAGCGAGTGGTTGCATAGGGAGACGCGTGATTTTGTGCTCAGACTCGAATAATGACTGGGACCGTCGAGGCCTCTTTCGATACAGAGAGTCAGTCAGGACCATCCCGCATCTTCCGTGTGTTGAAGACGACATATGACGAAGAAGGATGGACTGGACTATTTCGGGGCGTTATGCCGCGTGTCCTGTACATAGGACCCGCTTCGGCATTTTTCTTTCTCGTGTACGAGTGGATTCTTCATGCTCTTGGTTCATAGGTCGATTTAAGCTTGGACTTGTTACATTTAGGCGAATCTGTCGGTTTTGAGAAAAAGAAACCCACTCAAAGAGAAACTGGCGGAGTGAAAACCGCTGGAACTTCAGTAAGCCGACGACCCCTGTTCGACTTATACCAAGCCTGATGTCTTGAGGTCACAAAGCAGCTCTTGCCTTGTTTGTCATTATCCCTCGTGTTTGTCGTTGAGCAAGGTCGACTTCGACGATTCTACTGCTTGTCGGAGTCGACCCTTTTTTCTTTTTGATTCACATCACTCTGGATGGTCGTATCGCAACGTAGATCTATTTTCCCAAGAGCTGCACTCTCTGCACTTCCTCGGAGGGATTAGGCTCGTTCGTGTGAGCAATCGTTACAGTTTCATCCAAAAACACACTTCGTGGGGCCAGGCATCACGCTTCATCAGGCTACTTTCTTTGAAGCGTGAATCGGCCGTGAATTATGGATGATGCGTCATCGCCCTTGTCTGTCACGCGCAGCTGTCCGAATTGCACACCTTTCGCATTCCATCTATTCGCCGAATAATGTTTAGCGTGAGAAGAGTCTGCCTCCCCTGCTTCATTGTTGTGTGGGCTTCGAATGCGTGTCTAATTGTTGTTCTGTTACCGACGCGTCTCTCTTCGGTCTTGGATTCATGCCTGCGTAAGAAAGACAGGCTCGTTGTCGGCCGGCAGGACCTCGGTGCTCAAACCTTTTTTTTGTACCTTCTTGTCATCAGGGCTAATCGCCTGACACTTCGTTGTCCTCAAATCGACGACATCAACGTCAAAAAACCAATGGAACTTACGCCGTGACCGCCGCTGCGATTGCTTGGCTGAAATATCACGAGTAGTCCCGTGAGCGTGGTTTTCTGTCGTTTCTTCCCTTTGGGCCTCTCTCCGCTTGTCGTTTCGCTCTGGGCGTCTCTCTGCGTGTCGCCTCATTCTTTCTCTGATTCAGAGCAGCTTTAAGAGTAGGAACAGATCGTCCCGCTTCACACCGTGCTGTGAGACATCGTGTTACGGTACTCGGTTTGCGGATCGTTGAACCGACAGGAAAACGTCGCGAGTTCCTGCCGCTGTGGGATTGTTGTCGCGTATGTTTGTGCGATGGCAGTGGTAGATGTCTCTCATACAAAACGAGACACACACAGACAGTTTGACAAAAGACTCTCCATATAGCAGCAATTGATCAACGTCACCAACGAACGTGATCACCGCGGTGTACAGCAAATCGCCGTAACCATATTGTACATCTCTGCCCTTTCGTCAGCACTGCACCCCGGGCTGCATGGGTGTACTTTCCTGGTTCATTCTAACGCATCACGGAAGTATGTCGTCTCAGTGCCAACGTTCCCCATTTTATCGACAGTAGAAAGTCATGTGTCGCAATCTGTCTCCTAGCGGCGTGTCCCTAGCGGCGTAGGGTCTCTGCGAATAGATCTTTGAGCGCGGTGGAGTGCGGTCCGCATATCTATTGTTGACAATCGTACCCTAAGTGGGTTCACTGAAAAGTCACTTGTTGGACATTGAGCTCAGAGGGGGCATTAGGCAAATGCGAAACCCTAAACAGCACAGCGCACAAATAGCGCAGGTAGGCTGATGCGGTCTCAGCTCGTCTAGGCACATGTGTGTGTTCGCTCGCTGCATCAAAGACAGACAGCCGCACACCACAAAGATGTCTTACAGAACAAATGTGTTTGACTTACCCATTGCATGCCAACGCCACTGTGTATTTATTGACAAGGCACAGAGCGACGCAATGACAAAAGCGAGGGACGACTGGGACACTCACAGAGGTACTGTGAGGCGAGAGCCACTAACTAGAAGATGGGAAGATTGAGAACAGCCACGTGTGCACGGACATCACGACTCGTGAGGACTGTACACCCTCACATGGCCGTGAATATCCGCATGGCCTGCAGTCTCTCTTGTGATTCGAGAAACTGACACAGAGCAGTTCTCTTGCAGGGCTGTTCTATCTGACTCAGCAAGCTGGCATGCATGTTTGCCACGTCATGTGCTTCTAATGCCTCGCTCATCTATACGGTCAAGAGGGGGAGACAGAGAAGCCAAAACAGGCAAGCAAACCCACCATCAGTGACCGTGGAGGCAAGAAAAAGAGCAGAAAAGGCACACACGAAAGGCGCCGAGAAAAGGTAAGCAATAGAAATGAAGGCGCTATCGACCGTCAGGTAAGTAGCTGATGTCTGTGAAAGCAGAGCGACCCAAGAATGGCCAGCTCAGGCTGCAGACACGTCAGCAGTGTAGTCTTCAGGATGCTTGCGTGGCGCTTCGTCACAAGCCCTGAAGCCAACAAAAGAAACAAACACAAACATGCTTACGTGTGTGTGTATCTTCTGCCGCAGCCGAGTCTGCACCGAGAAAAGGACAGACAGACACGAAAGGCAGATAGATGAGGCAGACAGCCAGAACAACAATGAAAGGCACACTTAGATGTTCATGATGTGCATGTGAGTGCCGTGCCAAGCCGCGTGGAGTTGCGGAGGTGGTAGCAAGAGCACATGATGCCTCCCATTTCTCCAAGTGTCATCCGCATGGCTTGACGAGCTGCTGTAAGCTGACAAACAGCCGAACGAAGCACCTCGCCTGTTTCTTTCTCGATGATCTCGCTGACCGCCAACTCGTTGGCACGAAGCGGAGGGGAGTTAGAGCGGAGACCGAATTACACGGGCGAGATGGGACCCAAGTGACCTTTTGTTTTCTCAGTTCAACCGTGATCGACGATTTTGTCTGCCCGACGCCCTCCGTCTGAGAAAGACGAAGACCTCCTGAAGTGTCAGCCCGATTCGCGGACCAACCAGGGCGTGGTGTGTCGGTGGCGTGTAGCGAGAAGAGAAGGCGATGGCAGATCAAAACGAGGGTCCACCGATGAAACGGCAGAAGGCTGCGGAGACTCTAATAGCTCGAGCGGGTGGGAGGGGACAGGACGATGCAACGGGTCAGACTAAACATGGGGAAGGACGTGTGTGTGGTTTGTGTTCAGGAAAGGAGGCTCGTCCGAAGCTCGAACTCTGTGCTGCAGACCTCGTGAGTGTGGAAAAGCTCACGGACAAAGGTGCCCAGCGTGAGTCGACAAAGGTGCCCACCCTCAACCAACAGCAGCCTGCGAAGAATGTCCCGAAAGACTACGTCGGTTTCAAGGACCTGGAGACGATGGTGGATGGCAAAATCATGGAGGGATACCAGTTGATGGACACACCGCACGAGCGCGTGGGCCCAGCAGTGCTTACAAGATTCGCGAGAGGCGGCAAGACACGGACACTTCAAGAGATCGGCAAGATGCTTCAGGAACGGCAGATTCCTACTCTCTTCATCACCTTCAACGATCTCACTGCGATCGACAATGATGAGCGTCAGAACATCACCGCACTGCAGTCCGTCTTGATGCGCATTGCATGGGGGGCAGCGACAGAAGCTACTGTTCAAAAGGTGATAGAAAATGCGAAAAAAGCCGGCACTTCCCCAACCGCGCGCAACTGGACCGTGAGCAACTTCGACTTCTCCGAATGGATCCAAGCCGCTTGTATACGGTCGGTCAATCACAGATTTGAAAGACCGCTGATATTGACTCATCTCTCTCTTCTTGTTTGTCTTTATGTGGTGTACGTTGATTGTAGCAAAGACGAGGTCGAGGCGTGGCTTCAGGATCAGCCACTCATCCTCCTTATCGACGAGTTCAATCAGCTGCTGACGAAGGACCTTTTGGACGAGCTGAAGATGGCTGACGAAAACACACTAGCGAGGGAGTCAGACCAGGCTGAAGAAGTTGCTGCTTTCATCTCGAAGTCATTCCTCAAAGCCGAGCTGTCGTTTTTTGGTGTTTTCCAGCCATGTCGTGACGGTGGGAGATGGGCTTGAGGACTATTGGGGACGAAGCAGAAGCGGCCGACTTGCTAAGAAATTGCGAATCCCAGTGATCAAGCAGCTCGAGGACGCACGTCTTATCACCTTATGTGCTGACGGAGGACACATCTGCTGGACGGGGCGAGCACCAGCACTGTTATTCCAGCTATTTCGTAACAGTCCTAAGTGCGAAGCCCCAAGACCGTCTGACGTCACGCGCCACTTCTCCGCAGCTCCCACCATCAGTGCCGACACTGTCAGAGCTCTAGTGCAGTCAGCACTTAAGGGGGATGCGACTCGGGACTATCTTCTTGCTCTCGGTGCCATGCTGGCGGACGTTGACGTGTTTGATTCCAAATGCGTCTGGCCCCCTTGCTATTTGGGTGAAGCTTGCAACAAGGCGTCAGACTCCAAAGGCGTCAAGACGACCCTCGGCATGGAATTTGCCTCCGGCATTGGAGAAGTCGACGCGTTGCTCAAACAACTACTAGGGGACACTTCTGGAAAACAATGGGAGGGTGTCAGCGCTGCGGCGGTCCTCCTTCGACTGCTGGACAGCCACATAGCGCTCACCTACCTTCATGGACCGCCTCTGCAGCTGCCGGAAAATTCGGAACGCCTCGTGCCAGACCCGGTCGTCACTGGATGCGCGTTTGGATCGTTTGTGCGTGTTCCTTCTAAGTCAAACCTGAAGGAGCTCCTCTTGTGGTGGCTAAACGAGAGACAGCCCGAGACGAGAGAGGGGCAGAGGTTTCTCTCGTATCTGGTCAAACCAACTAACACGCAGTTCGAGGGTTGGGACTTCTTCGTCTTCATCACCATGGACGGGCGCCTGCGTGACGTCTGGGGCTACCAGTGCAAGCAGGACAATACGAAACCGACGACCGCCACGACAAGCACGATTAAGAAGAGCCTGAAAAACGTCAAGGGCGACGAGCAGCTGAAGGCATTAGGCATTGCGGGCGCCAGAGTGTGGTTGCAAGGTGTATGGCCATCAGACGGATAAGATGGATGAAAAAAATCGAAGACTGGCCACTGTACTACCCTTGCAATGCCACGCTCAGGGAGTTTCTGGGCGCCTCACTGAGTGAAGCGTGCCCGTCGGAGTTGTTGGATGTGAAAAAGAACTAGAGAGGGCAAGCGATGCTGAACGTTCCTGATGTTGGTAATCCAGACATTAATTCCTTCACCCATGAAAAGCAAGCCGTGAACCATGCATGAGTCCGCTACTCGAATTAAGATTGCGTCAACCCTTCCCTTTCTCCACTCGAAGAAGCTGCGCTCGAACCACCGCCCTGCGCGCAGCATCCTGTCTTCCGCGGTCCTCGTGCCGCATCGGACAGGTTCACTCTCCCTCGGCCTGTGCTGTCTGATTCGCTGGCCCCAGCACCACCGCCAGAAAGCTGCAACGACTTCGTTTGCACTGCATTCTTCCTTCTGTGAAAACACAGCAACAAGACGTTGCTGAAAGACATGCTGTGTGCGGCTATCCCTCACCTGAGGTCAACAAGTTTGGCCGCAGCCGACAAGAAGGCATTGTCGACGTTGGACGCAGTCTGTCATGTTATTGCATTTGCCAAGAAGTGTGCAACGTTGTACGTTGTCGTTGAATGATTGGAAAACTTCGCCCACCTTGGCAGATGTATTCACGAAGATCGCGCCGATGCGGTCCGCACACGCCTGCAGAACAGGGGATAACGACGTTATACTTGTCACAGAGCTGCGTAATCCTACCGGTGTGTGGAACTTCCTAACCTTTGCTTCTTCCTCAGACACTTGGATCTGGTCCTTCAAGTCATACTTGTTGCCAACGAGGAGTTTCACCTGGGCAGAAGACGCATCGATGTCTTGTGTTTGCAAATCAGACGAGACAGCACATGAAAAGGAATCGAGTACCGTTGACGGGCCGCAGTCGTGATGCTCCTGAATCTGCAATACAGCTCCCCATTTGATCGTGTGCCCACCATTTTCCTCCCCAATAGGCCTGCCCGAAGTACCTGGTTCAGCCATTGGTCCACGTGGTCAAAGGATTCTCTGCTGGTGGCATCGTAGACGAGAACAAAGCCATCTGCGTTGCGGTAGTAATTGCCTGTGACGACGCTGAACCTTTCTTGGCCTGCAGTGTCCCACTGCGAAGACAACCAAATCCGACAGTCCAATCAACCAGCGCAGCTGCCTACCAGCTGCAGCTTGACGAGTTTGCCCTTGATCATGGTGACGACTGTCTTGAAGTCGACGCCAATCGTTGACACGTGGAAGTCCGAATACACGTCCTAGGGGAAGGGGTGATGAGCAGGATGGCGAAGAACAAGCGTGACAAGCCTGTGCCCACGGCCTTTCTCAGAATGCGTATGACCTGGACAAAACGGGTGAGAAGACAGCTCTTCCCAACGCCAGAGTCCCCCACTGTCACGAGTTTGAACTTGAAATCACCGTCACCCTAAAGAAACAAAAGGTTGGTGCGAAGAAGAGCACTTTCACTTTCATCATCGTGTTTGAACATACCGCGCCGTCTCGAATCTGCAAACAATCGACAGAAAAAAGGGAAGGGGCGGTGACCTACTTGTAGGAAATGCTGGAAATCGCGTCTGTACCTGGAGTACATTGAGAAAGAACAGTTTCCTCGAGATTCGCTGTCCTGGACCACCTCCGTCGTCGCCTGCAGCAGCTCACGTCAGACAGAGGTTGGCGGCACTTCTCTTCCGAACCTAGTGCATCTCCTTTCTGTTTTGTAGCCTCAGTCTTTTCCCTCGATCCACCGAAGACGATGAGCTTGTCATGCAACACTGTACTGCAGTGGGACTTCACATTGATTTGCCCTGAAAAGTGGACAACCATCACTTATCAGGTGGTTACTAGTGGCGACGCCTGGCGACTGACCTTCGTACAATGGTCTGCTCCATTTGCTTTTCGCAGAATCGTATATGTACAAATCAGAAACTTCCGCTATCGTCTTGAATATGTACCATGCAATAGAGGAATGGAGGGGGATGGGGGCCCTTTGTGACGACTATGATTCTTACTTGGCCCGCAAATATGAAGACTCTGTCGCCTATTAAGTCCATTGAATGGAAGGACCTCGACAAGGGGGCCGTGTTTGCAACTTCTACTCGACTCCTGAGGGTATTGGTCACCGAGTTTTTTCTCGAGTTTCTGCTCACGATGACTCGCTGCTCTGCTTTCTTCTAAGCTGCTTGCCCTTACCAAACGTACTCGCCCTGCGTCGCCAGATCCAGAGAGAACAAGGCACCGTCGTCCTCAGCTCCTCTGCGTGGTGACCACACAAACACAACACTGTCTGTATGATCGTGGTTTGTCCATTTCCATTGCTCTCTACCCGAACAGCAGAAGTTTGTCTTGGAAGCAGACGGTTTTGTGACCGTACCTAACACGAAGTAGGCAATCTCGCAACGAGAGAAGAGCCATGCGCTTGGGTATACCGCGCCGAGGGGACTTCCCCAGTTTGGCTTGGTTGCTGCCATGCTGACTTCCCGAGGTCCAGTATCCAAAGCTCATTTGATGCCTGGTAAAAGCAAAACGGCCGTTGAAGCAAGCAGCACCCTGACACCTTCTCACCTGGGTAAGGTTGGCGTCCGTGGCACCTCCGAAAACGACTAGCTGGTTCTTGAAGACTGCAACACATGCAACGGCTACTGGTGTACTTGATTGAAAACGGTCCAAAAAGTCGCCGCACCTGAGGCGGAGTGAAAGGCTCTTGCTGGCGGCATTGGTCCAGTGATCTCCGGCTGCGTCCACACGAGGGTGCTTGTTTGCAGCAGGAACAGATCGCTGACAGTTCATACATGGGCCATCCACATGGACAGTAAGTGGAGAAACGAAATGAGCCCGCTCTACCTGGATGGTGACCCCTGATGGGCCCATGGGCGAAGGCGCGTTGAAGCCGAGCCAGCAGTCGGAGCCATAAACGGTGGAGGAGGGAAGCTCTTCTGCAGTTGCTCGTCTAGCATTATCTCTGAGTCCTTCATTCAAACAAGACACACAGCCCACTCTTTACAGCTTAAGAGACCGACTGGCGCAGCGAGTGGTGCATACCTCTTCTGCGAGCCCTCCAAAAAGAACCAGGGACTGAGTATCGGGGTGAGCTTGCAGAGAGTGGCCATAGCGTGGCGTCGGCTTGCTGAAGCCTCCAACATTCAGCTCCTTCCATGATGCCTTCTCTGTGAGGCCACTCACACCCACAAAGAGCAAGTACGCAGCCCTCTTGCTGGACAGTCTGCGCTCACCGATCTCCATCACATGCAAATCACCATAGGCGGCCTTCTCATCGGCGCCTCCGTGAAGGTAGAGGCGTGTCCCCACGGTCACAATCTTGTGCAAATACAAAACATGCCACAAGTGCAGTGCAGACGAGTTTGGCCCGCCTTTCTGCATCGCTGTACCTGGCTGGCAACCCTAGCAGTCGGAATATCTCCATGCTGGCGAAGGTCACAGACGGAGAGGACCAGGTTTCTGACGTTCTGGGTCTCGTCCGCCATCTCGCTGGGTCGCTGTTGTCACAGGGCGAGATGCGCCTGCTGACGCCACTGAGCAAACACGATCACCTGCAAACGGAAACAGGAGGGTTGTGCCATACGCTTCTTGCCCGCTCCTTCCCTCACCTTTTCACTTGCTCATCCGCTACTTGCTTCATCAGCCGATCTACGCAAAACACCTAAAACCCTGAGCCCTAACTCTAACCCCAGCGTAACTCTAACCCCAGCGTAACTCTAACCCCAGCGAAACACTGATTTGCTGTGTGCTGAAACGGCGAGGGGGATGGCGGATCTTCTGATAAAGCCCGAGCATGGAGCGGCTGGTACACTCTCCGAGAGCCGGAAGAAGAAGCTGGAGCGCAACCGGGTTCTGGCGACGCAGAAGAATACCGCCATCGCCGAACTGAAGAAGGTAGATACCAACGCTACGAACACAGGCGAGTGTGTGATCATCTCTCTTTGATTGCGCTTGCTACCGTCAGAGGAACCGCGAAACTCGAGAGGCGCTCAAGATCCGGACTCTCCAGTACGAGGAGGAGTACCAGACTGAGCAGGAGAACGCACTCGCCCTTCGCAGGTCGGTCGACATCAAGATGGCACCAGATTGCCGCACTTGATCTGGCCGTTTCTTCCAGGGAATCTCGTGCCGAGGGGGGCTTCTACAAGGAGCCGGATGCGCAGCTCATATTCGCCATTCGCATCAAGGGGTGAGTCGCGCAGGCAGGCAGCCTGCCGTTTCCTGCGTTCCATGTTTGATTCTGGATCCTTCAGTATCAACAAGCTGGCTCCGAAGCCTCGCAAGGTCCTTCAGCTGTTCCGCCTCCTGCAAATCCACAACGGAGTGTTCATCAAAGTGAACAAGGCCACCACCGAGATGCTCAAGCTGATCGCTCCCTTCGGTCAGACGTGCCAGCTGGGCAGAGAACTACACCTGGTGACGGTTATTGAATGCTGTCCCTTGATTGGCCTGATTGCGCACAGTTACGTACGGCTATCCGTCTCTGAAGACGGTGCGGGAGCTGATCTACAAACGGGGATACGGAAAGGTCAACAAGCACCGCATCCCCCTCCAGGATAATCAGATCATTTCTGAAGCCCTTGGCAAGGTGAGGCTGGAAATTATCCAACGCATCCTCTGCTCTCGCGGTATGTGTATGATTACCGTGTACGTGTGGCTGACCAGTATGGCATCCATGGTGTGGAGGACCTCGTGCACGAGATCTACACTGTCGGCCCCCATTTCAAGGAGGCGAACAACTTCCTCTGGTAAGTCAGTCACCTCACTCACTTGCCTTGCAAAGATCTCCGATCGATGAGTCAGCCAGTGCCATGTCCTTTATGGTGCTGTCTGTGCCTTCCCTGCTCTAACATAACAGGCCGTTCAAGTTGAATTCGCCGAGGGGAGGTTTCGTCGCCAAACGCCACGGCTTCACCGAGCCTCGTGGCGGCGACTGGGGCAACAGGTCAGACTGACACGACAGAGTGCCTGTTTGCTGTGCGGAAATACTTCCCTCTACTGCCATGATTCTGTCTATGTTCAATGCAGGGAGCTTCTCATCAACAGCCTGCTGACCAAGATGATCTGAGTCGGCCGTGTGGGTTGGTCACATGATTTGACCATGCCGCTCGCAGAGGGGTTTACATGAACTCGTGATGGACATGTATGTGTCTCCATGAATCGGTTCGGACTTGTGTCTCATTCATCACTCACGGCAGGCCAATTCTATCATCCCATTCGACAGATCCTTGACTGAAAAGCCGAGAGTCTCGATTTCCGTCCTGTAGTAATCATGACATGCACCACACGTTCTCTCAGTGCTGAGGATCACACTGAACCCATACCTGAGCTTGTCAGCTGCTTGGTAGTCTTTGACTGATTTCGCCTTAGCCCTCTCCTCGACAAGGAGCAATATCTCAGCTGGAAAACCTGCAGGCGGTGCAGGTTTTCCGACACACGCGGATGGTTTTGTCTGCTCTGCTCTCTTTGCCCATCCCATTCTCTCCCCCTCCGCCCTCACCTTCCAGCATCTCAGGCAGGTCCACTCTGGGGTCGAGACGTATTGTCTCGCTTGTCTCCCCTTCGGAGGTGCCGTCCTCTGGGGCCCCACCCCACTCCACTGGATCGTACCACAGGCCAAAGACGCTGTCCATCCGGTCCAGGGCGCTGCTCACACCCTTGAGACCTTCGCCAAGCAGAGCGCCTTGACATTCCTGCAGCGCCCTCTCACAGGTAGCGATGAGTTTGAACATGGCTGCAAAGGCCCTGCACACAGGAAGCATGAAGTCCATTGATTCCTCTCTGCCCCGTGCGTGCAGCTCTGAGCAGTCTACACGTACCTGGGTGTGTTCAAGTCGTCAAGCAGATGGGCCTCGAAATCGTTGACGCACTCGCTGCTCGCATTTATGAGCTGAGCGTTCCAGTCGCCACTGGGCAGGTCCTGGAGGTGTGGGGCCTCCTGCGCCGCCGCTGCCTTGAGCCGCCTCCTGAAGGCGTCAAGACGCCGCACGCTATTCCTGGCCGATTGCAACGCAGCTGCAGAGAAGTTCAGCGGTCTCCTGTAGGCACACACGGACATGTCTGTGAAGCCACACGTGTCCAGGTATGTCGCCCCGGAGTGTGTTGACATGTCGCGCATGTACCTGTAGTTAGATCCGACGACAAGGAATCGGAATGCCCGTACATCGTCTTTGGTGGGACAGCACTGTCTGAGTGTGAGGAAGTTTCTCTTGGACTTGGACATTTTCTCCTGGTTGATGTTGACAAAGCCATTGTGCACCCAGTAGCGGCAAAAGGGCTGGCCACTCGCACCTTCAGACTGGGCGATCTCGTTCTCGTGATGCGGGAAGATCAAATCGATCCCACCTAATCAATGACACAAAGGGAGAGAGGGAGGGAGGGAGGGAGGGACAATGAGTCAGGTAATAAGAGCAGGGAGCGAGGGGAGGGGACTTGGCGCTGGTGTGGATGTGGCGTGCACGCGCTAGGCACCTACCGGCATGGATGTCGATGGTGTCCCCCAGGAGCGCTTTTGCCATGGCACTGCACTCAATGTGCCAACCAGGACGACCACGGCCCCACGGGCTCTGAACGAGCAGACAACGGACCACGCATAAGGGCAACACAACAGATCGTCACCAATCACTCCCATCCATCGTTCGCGTCTTTGTCTTCGAGGTCACTCACTGGCTGGTTGTTTACTTACATTCCACCAGACGTCTCCGTCCTCCTCTTTGTATGCCTTCCACAGGGCGAAATCCTCCGCCTCCACTTTGCCAGTCCCGGCAGCATCAGCATGGTCCGACGCGACCTCCTCAGACTCCTCAGACGCTGACCCATCCCTCTCCCCACCACCCGCACGGATGCCGCTCAGAAACCGACGGTCGGTCAGCACACCATATCTGTCCATCAAAGCAAGCAAGCCACCCACCCACAAAAGCCGACAGATAGATCCATTTATTGGATGGGTGTGTGAGTCAATCGGCGAGTGTACGTACGAACCTCTCGCATTTCGACACGTTGAAGTAGACCGAGGCGGCGGGCAGCTCGATTGCCCCCTGCTGGCGTGGCTGCTCCTGTGCTGTGTATGCTAGACCGTTGTCGATGAGGGTCTGGATCATCGCCTGCATCTGAGGGATGTAGTCACTTGCGCGGGGGTAGTGGGTCGCAGGCAGAACATTCAACGCCTGACGCCGCCCGCCACAGAGAGACAGACACGACACGACACGACACGACACGACATACACGACACAACGAAGGAGCTGAGCTGCCTACCCCCGGCGTCGGCCCACCCGTGCTTGACTTACTGTGATCGGCAGATGCCTGCCTGCTTACCTTGATGTCCTGGAAGAACAATTGCGTGTATGTGTTGGTGAGCTCGGTCCGCGACACGCCCTCATCGCGCATTCTCTGAATGATCTTGTCATCGACGTCCGTCAAATTACACACGTGCACTACAGTATACCTGCAGGTAAACGGCCGCACGTCCATCCATTCATTCATTCATTCATTCATTCATTCAGCCAACAAAGGGAGGGAGGTCAGGCCCGTATGTATGCGTTGTGTGTGTAGTCATTCATTCACGTTGTGGGCTGGGCTATCTACCTATCTGCCTACCCAAGGTAGATGAGGAAACGCTTGAGCAGGTCATAGGTGAGGAAGGCGCGGAAGTTGCCAATGTGGGCCGCGTCGTAGACTGTCGGGCCACACGAGTAGAAGCGAACTACCCGCTCACTGTCCAGCGGTGCAGCGCTTGACGAGGGCATGCCGGCATCGAACGACCGCTTTGTCCGCTCGCCCGTGTCAAACAGCCGGAAGCGACGGTCCGCACTGCCAATGGATGAACCTGACACTGTTGAAAGGCCGCCTCGCGAAGATGATGGGTGTTGAGGACCTCTGAAGCTGATGAGCTGCGGGTGACTGGAAGCCCAACCCATTAGTAGTGGAGTGAAGGCATTTGCCGCACAGCAAACGCTGAAGAACGCGAGTGCGGTGACGGACGGCGAATGACGTGTGGCATTCATTCATCTCATTGCCTGCACACAGACCCAAGGAACTCAGGAAAGAAAAGGATTCATGAATTCGAAGATCACCTCCTGCGATTGAAGATCCAGGTCATTCTGCGATGTGAGAGCGCTGTGCTCAGCGGGGAATCCCTCAACAGTCAATAGATTCGACTGCGAGCTCAGATAAAGGGATCATCATCTGAGCTCGCAGTGGAATCTATGCAGAGTCCGTGAAGCCGCATCATTCATCAATCTATGCAGAATTCGGTTGCAGCGGGGTGGTCCGCCGTGCCTGGGGCACTTGTGCAGATATGGATCTTTCCATTGTTGATGGTGCTGCACTCATGTGACGCAGGTGGGAGCAGTGCAGCAGAGATGGGGTGGATACACTCAGGGCATCCAGCGGAAGGATGGCAGGCTCCCTGTCGCTTGTGGGTTGCAGCTTCTTTCAGGCGGTCATCAGCCGGTGCATTCATGCGGCCACCGTCGCTCTTTCCCGAGCAAGTCCACAAGAGGCCTTTCAGGCGGAGAGGCCAGCCATATGGGCGCTCGAGTGTGGTCAACCTGGAGGCAGATAAGGCAGACGACAGATCCCCGCGGCCGGCGGAGAAGAAGGACGAGGCGATGGTTGGAGCCAAGGAGGATGACGAGGATGTGAGTGAGACTGTGTCGCTGCTCGCTGCACTCGGTAGGTGCCGTCATCATGTGATATCGTCATAGATAGAAAGCACACACACCTAAAGGAAAGAGCTCCATGCATGTGTGCACTGAACGGGTGTGTCGATGTGTGTCCCTCTGTGACTGACTGACTGACTGCCTGACGTATGGGAGCAGGGAAACCAGACAGGTAGGTGGGGCGCCAGGACCAAAGGAAGACGGCTCAGCCACGTACCTATCCCACGATTGGTCGCTTGCCTCCCTCGTCTGTTGTGGTTGCTTTGCTTGATGTGTTTGTTGTGCTTAGTGAGGAGAGTTTGTTGGCGTCGTTGCAGGAGGACATTGACTTTCTGAGGGGATTACAGGAGCGTGGCGAGGAGGCGGCTCCCGACCTGGAGGGTCTGGTGCCTGAGGCCGTGGACATGGACCAGGAGCTGGGGCAGGACGAGGAGCAGCCTGAAGTCATCGACCTGTCGCTACTCGATGATGACACCGAGGCTGAGCTACGGGAGGAATTCAAAGCACTTGCTGGCAAGGACCAGCTCATGACACTCGACCAGTTCTCGCAACTCCAGGAGTTCCAGGACCTCATCCAGGCAGGTCGGTAGGTGGGTGGCTGGGTGGCTGGGTCAGCAGCATGCAAGGAAGGATCGGACGTGCCTGAGGCTAGATGAGATGAGCGTGTCGCTCCTGTCGACACTCTGTCTGTCGGGTGTTCTCTCTGCATTACGTAATGGTGCCTGCAGGTGACCTTCGGCAGAGTGAGGTCAGCCAGGCTTGGGAGCGGACAGAAAAGATATCAGGCACTGACAAGGTGGGCTCACTCTCTCCCAACCTCAAGTTTGTTGAGGCAGGCCTTTGTCTTCATTGCTTTCTTGCCTTGTTGCTGCATACCTGTGGTGTGAGTAGGTTGACGTCATGGGGTTCCTCGAGGCGTGGATGCGCGTCGATAATCTGTTCGAAACCATCCAGGAGGAGGACGAGGAGGGCGAAATGGTCGAAAGCCTCGTCAAGAAGAAAGGTGCGGACGCATGTATGTGTATATAATCGCATCTGCGTACATGTATCGCCTCACAGCTGTAGTACCGACCATGAAAGCTCATGAATGGAATGCTCCTGCTCAGACGTGCGGGCCGGCGACATGCAAATCATCGGTAGGTTTTAGTGGAGCGGAACAAAGCACACCCCTTGTGCTTTCCTTCCTGCCCGAGCTGATTGATGCGTGAATGGCCGGAGTGCGTTTGTGTACGTTGGCTTTGTGTTTGCGGTTGATGCGTGCCGTGCATGCAGATGCGGACAAGGTGAGTGACGAGTGGGAGCTGGATTTCTACAGCCGCCCTATCAAGGGTGCTGACGGCAAGAAAATATGGGAGGTGCTCATCACGGATAAGACCGGCAACTTCAAGTACGCCGAAGTCGTCCCAACCAGACAAGTAGGGCTGGCTGGCTGGCTGGCTTGTCGGGCCACCCACCGCACATACCACTTCCATGCAGTCGATCGATGCGTCCATCCGATGCTCTGTGTGCCATGCCCCTACGTACTCATCATCCATGTGTCTGTCTGTGGTGCCATATATGCATTCATTGATGCATGCAGGTCAACAGCCGTGCCTTGAAGGAGCTATTCGAGCGAGTTGCGGATGATGCGCCCACCCGACCGAAGGTGGTCCGCTTCTTCAGGTGGGCGACGTGTCGGGGGCAGGGAGGGAGGGAGGGGTGCACTCACTGTCCAGTCAGCTGTATGACATGAATCCTGTATGTATGTATGTGTGTATGTGTATGTGTGTGTGTGTGCCTTTCTTTGGTCGACCTTGTAGGGCTCAGATGCAGAGCATGATCAAGATCGGACTCTCGGTACCTACCGTATGCACAGCCCACACATTGCACGCAGCATGGATGGCACGTACGCATCACATAGATCGCACACATCCTGCCTGCAGTGCCTCCTCGTCCTCTCCGCTTCTTTGTCCGTATACATTACGAACAGGCAGTGAGCGGGATTGACGTCCGTCCCAGCCGCGCCACTTACAGGCTGTACGACTGGCTCGACGAGAGGGAGAAAAAGGTAAGCAAGAAGGGAGAGAGGAGGCAATGGGTTGGGCTGGTGGGGAGGCAGGCAGGCAGGCAGGCGGGGAGGGAGGGACGGACTGAGAAAGGGCGACACACAGGCTTGACCCCTTCACGGATGTGTGCTGGCTGGCTGCCTGTCGGCGTGCCATGCAGGTGTACCCCTCCATGGCCGGCTACGACGCGTCACTGATTTCTCAGTTCTTCCCGCTGGACTTCGAGCCCGAGAGACTGCCGGACGAAATCATGTCAGCTCCGACACAAGAAAAGAACCCCCCGCACGATGATGTCTGGTTGCTCCGTCGCTTATTAGGTGCGAAAAGTTTGCCTTCGCGCAAATGCCGCTGTCCGAAATCGCAGATGAGACGAGATTCATGGTATGAGCGCGCAGTCGGATGCACCGCACCGCACCCTGCCATTCAGCTGCCCCTGGCGCGTGCATCCATTCATCCCTCTTTCTGTTTGCTGTGTGTCAGGGTAATATAGCGACGAAGCTGTGTCCCTTGCCAACGGCCCTAGAAGAAGGGTCAGCCGATGCCAGCGACATCATGGTGAGGGGTGTCACACTTCTTCAGCAAGTCAGCAAGGGGAGCAGAGCAGTAGGATGCGGCCGATCTTGCCTGCTCGATCTGCTGGCTGCAGATTCCGGGTATCGTCATGTTCGCCAGCCGCAGGGCGCAGGTAGGTAGACAAGAAGATGAGCGATCGATTCACTTCGCTCGCTCGCTTCCTGGCTGATAGAAACCACTTTGGGATCTGTTCCGCGCATCCTGGCTAATGCATGTATTGTGTGTGGGTGTACGTCAGGTAGTGGCTTCGCTGATGATGGGCAAGGAGATAGGTTTCCTCAAGGCCTACGTCACGAAGCGGCAGCTGTGCCTGGAGGCCGGCCTCGATGACAGCTTCTTGCTCTGCGGCCTCGACGATGAGCTCAGAAGACAGGCGGCTGACTTCGAGAGACGTCAGGGACACGAAAAGCAAAATCAAATTCATATGGATAGACCTGCCATGCCAAACGGGTGTCGAAACTCATCTTTCTTACTCGTGTGTATTTCTTGTCGCAGAAAAGCTGGCTGCGTTGGGTCTGCATTTCTTTGCCATCCAGGCATCAGAAGAGAAAGAGGTGAGTGACCCCGATAGCCACAGCACGTATGGTGGACACGTGTGTATGTGTATGTAATTAATGTGTGGTCGCGTCAGCCTGTGGCGTTTTGGTTGCTTCGTGAGAACATCCAGGACGACGACCTGCTGATAAGTGACGACGACGACGAAACGCTGCCGTTCGAGGGGCTCAAGTCCCCTGCTCGCATACCAGACAGTGATGCACTCACCTTTGGAAAGCAAGAAGCGTGACGAGGCAGACGATAGGGCTGTACCAGAGGGCTGATTGTGTGACTTAGGACGTGTGTCCACTAACTATGTTCACTTGCAATATGTATGTGTATGTGTTATCATTGATTACGCACATATTAATAAATAAATTCACATAGATGAAAAGAGTCGTCTGACGTCAGCATTGATTGATACTCAACAACCACACTTCCACCCCACCACTCCCTAGTGTTGCTGGGCAGCTGCGTGAGAGTGCAGTGTTCCATAGTGAGGGTCTCACTCACTCACTCACTCAGCCAGTCAGTCAGTCAGTCAGTCAGTGTGTAACACCGTCTGTCCGACTGACTAGAGCCAGAGGAGGAAGGCAGCTACAGCTGCAGTACCGAGCACAGCTATCTGCATGCGACCTATCTCTGGATTGGCCCCAGATATCTCCAGCGCGTCCAGCTGCTGAGATTTGGACACGGCAGACGAGGCCGATGACGAACACGACGCCACTGCGCACGTCACCTGATTGATACCATGCATAGATCGATTGATGGATAGATACCACACCCACGCACGATGAGAAGGAGTGAGACATGAGATGCATGTGATTAGTCAGTCGACCCCCATGCCTCCTGACTGACTGACTAGCTGCTGTGCTGTGCTGTGCTGTGTTTGTTGTGCTGTGGTTGCTGCCTTACGGCGAAGTCGCCTGGTGTGAATGGGTGTGGTGAATCAGCCCGGGCCGATTGTGGTGCTGCAGATGAACTACATGGCCATCCCTGATCCATCAAAGGGCAACCAAGGCCAGGAAGTACATCGTCCATCCATCAACACATGACATGCATGAGTGGGTGAAGTGAGTGAGTGTATCAATCAGTCAGTCAATCAATCCGATGTGTGAGGTAGGCTATAGGTAGGTACCTGGACGAAAATGGGTCCAATGGTAGCGTTGAGGGAGACGAGTGCACACCCCTGTAGCCGCACCTCCTTTGCACCCACCGGGACCTCATGCCGGATCTTCTGCTGGAACTCAGACATACTCTCGATGTGCGCCATCCAAGTCACAGTGCTGCTCGATGACACCACAGACTTGGGCTGACAGACAACAAACAGGTGTGGAATTTGTCAGTCAAGGGAACCAACCACAGCACATCCATACAAGGTGGCCTCCTGTGCAAGCGTACGTACGCTGTGTCTGTTGTGTCGCCGATCGGATCGTCTGTGGTGCTTGGAGCTGCCGCTGTCTGGTGAGGGCAGGAAGTCCTCCTGTTCCTGTGTTGGGTCCACCGAGAGGACAGTGGCGACGGCCTCACTGCTGTTGCCGAACGGTGTGTCCTGGGGTGGACCCTGCTGATGGGGCTGCCCCTGCGATGGCCGCATGCACTCACACAGCACATCCTGCATGTGGCCAACACACCAACCAAACACGCAGCAGAAATGAACAGCTAGCTGCACCAATCAGGGTGTAGGAAGGTATGAGTGCCTCCATGCTGGGGCAGGCAGCGGATGGCCGGCTTGCTTGCTGACCTTGCTGAATGATGACGGAATGCCATCGTCATCGTCCTTCTCCTCTTCCTTTTTCTTTCCCTCCTCCTCGCTGTCGTGGTCCCTGCCGACTTTGAGTGTCATGCGATGTCGCCTCCACCTCTTGCGCTTGCGGCCATCGTCCGGACCTTCCTCCTCCTCATCGGTGAGGCCACACTCGGCCTGGCCGCTGCCATCGATAGGCGCCCTCGTGCACACAAAGTGCCCTCCGTCGATTGTCTTGAGTGTGGTGCACTTGTCAGTCTTGGTGGTCTCGGTGGCCGGGGCGCAGCACTCCATGTACTCGTCGGTGCACGTAGCCACGCCGCCTATGTCGGTCGACAGACCACCCACAAGCGAAAGGAATCCTGAGGGAGTCACAGTCGCAACACACAACACAAAACGTGACCAACAGGAACAGCGCAGCGCAGCCAAGGTGTCATTCAGTGAGGGACCACTGACAGACTCACCGCGTGCCACTGGTGCGATGGCCTGGAATGCTTGGCTCGCTGTCCCTGCCAGACCGCTCAAGCCACTGAGGCCGCCCCCACCCCCACCTCCACCCCCACCCCCATTGGCCAGACCGCCCGCTCCGAGACCCCCGAAGAAATCTCGGTCCCGACCACCACCCTAATGAGTTGATTCATGCATGGGACCAATCAGGAAGCCATCGTGTATGCACCTGGCCTGCCTGCCTAGTGGAGCCCCTGGCCTACCTCGTTGTTCCTCCTGCGTCTTCCCGAGAGGGGCCCTCCACCGCCGAGGGGCCCCCCACCGCCCCGTCCCCTCCTCTCCGAAGATGAAGACGACGAAGACTCGCCATACGGCGATGCACCTCGAGCTGCACTCCGCCCTTGCTGCGCCTCAGCCTGACACCACACATCCACGCACACAAGTGCACACATGCTCTCGCCGCTTCTTTGGCAGGCAGAGGGTTTCGTAGGCATCATTCATTCAGGTGCTCACCGAGTCTGGGAATACGATTCGTTGTCCCGATGGGAGTGTGAAAGAACCGCTATTGTTGTCTGTTGACGTCTGGGGAGACTGGGCAGTGGCAGGCGGGGCCCCGGGGATCGCAGGAGCGGGAGAGCCACCGCTGCCACTAGTCCAACCCCCACCGGGCGTGGGTGGATGGACAACCCCACCAACGGGGGCTGAGGGCGAGGCACCCCCACCAACAGGGTACTGGGGAGCAGTAGCAGCAGGGGGGGACTGGGGGGCAGCAGCAGGAGGAGGGCGGGCTGCTGCTGCAGGGCTGCTACTCCCACTCTCTCCCCCGGACTCGTATTGCAGCGCATTGGTGTCGTCCGCATTGTTGCCTCGCGGCCGACGATCCACTGGCTGCAGCGCCTCCGGGGCGGCCGGCCGGCCACTGCCTCTGTCGTCACTTGCAGCAGCTCTGCTGGTCTCGCCGCCGCTGTTGGTGCGCGTCGGGGGCGGGGGTGGGTCCTCGTCATCCACAGCCTGGCTGCTGCTCATCAGCGTGGGGCCCGCTGTGTCGAGCGCCTTAGTAAGGGCGTGCTGGGAATCGAGGAGACCACCCGTGCGACACCTATAATCCGGGTATTCGTACGCACCACAACCCCACATGCGCGGACGCTTTCTTGCAGCCGGGTGGTTGCGTGTTATGTGTGTGTGGGGTTCGCTTACTTGCCCTTGAGTTTGGCCATGGGTCTTGCCGTGTCGAGTATGAGGTCCCTCAGCTCTGCCGATGAGAGTTTGGGGTTCACGCCCTTGAGCATGGCTGCAGTGCCCGCCGCAAAGGGCGATGCCATCGACGTGCCGGACTGAAGACGATAAACACCACTCCGCCAACTAGAAATGATCTCCGTCCCTGTGACAGATGCAATACACACACCCATATCCACCCATTCCCCCGGCTGTGCAGGAAGCCATTGGTCATGCAATCCTTTGTGTACCTGGTGCGGCCACATCGACATTGGTTCCCCAGTTAGAGAAGGCTGACAAGTCGCCCTCCCGGGTCACACTCGTCACGCTCAAGATGTTGGACAGCTCGTAGGCAGCTGATGCGACCGAGACACATGAATGATACAGCAGACATCCGCAGCTCCTCATCTATTCCTGGTGTGTTGGCTTATGGACCTCTCCCACATACCTGGGTAGTAGGGTGCCGTCAGGGAGGATTGTCCAGTGTTCCCAGCGGATGTGACGAGCAGGCAGTCCTTCCGCTGGGCGGCCCTCACGGCCTCATAAAGCGCACGCAGGTTCTTCGTACCTGGTGCACGGCGCCAACCAACAAGCAGTGTGTGTACTGGACACCGGGAGTGGCTTGATCATGTGCTCACCTCCCCAGCTGTTGTTGGTGATTTTGACGCCCATCCTCAGGGCGTAGTCGAGGGCCCGGACCGCATCGGACACGTGGCCCAAACCATCCTTGTCCTGATGGTGGATTCATGAATCGAGAAACGAGACACAATGCAGAGAGAATCGAGAATCGTCTGTACGACGTCCCTATCCCATCGCCGACGCAAGTGCTTGCTTACAAGGAACTTGAGTGCCATGACTTTAGCGTTTGGCGAGATGCCAGCGACACCTTCGTGGTTATTCCAGTTGGCTGCGATGGAACCTGCCGAGTGAGTCCCGTGGCCGTTCTCGTCACGCACATCCGGATTCTCATCAAAGAAGTTCCACTGCATCCACCATGTGACACGTGCAATACAAGCACTCAGTTGATTGGATCGCAGAGGCCAGCTTGCCAATTCTTGCTTACGCCGTAGTAGTCATCCACAAAACCTGACGCGAAACAGAAGGACCAGTCGCATACATCACGAAGAATGAGTTGACTATGACATGGATGTCTGCATCGCATCACTCACCGTTGCGATCGTCATCGATTCCGTTCCCTGGGATCTCGTCGGGACTGCCAGTGACAGGGAGCACAGCGGACGCCACAAGTGTGGTGCGCAGATGTGTGTGTAGGTCGGGTCGGGTGGCTCACTTGGTCCAGATGCGATGTTGCAGGTCAGGATGGTCTACGTCGACTCCCGTGTCGATGATGGCCACTATCACCTCCTCTCTGTTGGCCTCGTTCTCGTTGGCCACACGCCACCGCTCAAATATCTCCCACGCATTGGTCGCACGAATGTCCACGCCCTCGGGGTTGGCGAGACCCCACTGGCGATCGAAATATGTGTCGTCGGGACGAATGCCTGCACCAAGCAGACAAGGAAGGAACGATGATTGACCGATTGGTCGTCTGCAAAGATCCATGGCGCCGCTTGTGGTGTTTGTTTGCTACCGGTGGTGGCTTGGAGGGCCTGGAGCATGCCCGATTGAGAGGGGTGCGTCCTGTAAGGCAGATGAATGGGTGAGCTGGGCGCAGCGGTGCCGTTGGTTTCTCCAGATAGAGTGGACGGCAGGATGGGCCCGGACGCACCAGACGGCAGCCCGATCGACACCTCATCTGAGCCATCATCGTCTTCTTCGTCATCCTGCTCGTCATCAAGCCCTCCGTCACCAAGAATTGACACCTGCATATCATATGCGAGGACGGCCATCACACAGTGCAGTGCACGGAGTCCCTCCCTCTGCATTCGTGGGATGTGATGTCGTCTCTCCGTACCAGTTCGTCTTCTTCGGCGAAGTATCCCTGGGCGGAGAGGAGCTCCACCAGGTCTCCTAAATCCTGCCCTTCAGCCAAGTCCACTATCTCAAGATCTGCACAACACACACACCAGGACATCCCAGGCAGGTGCAAACGATCACCGCATCGACCGAGTCGACCTGTGTGCCCCCTGTCTGTTGCTGCCGCACTAACCAAGTGTATCGAGTGCTGTGATTTTGGCCACTCCCATATCTGCCAGCAATTCCCTCGGCTCATGCTGCAGTCGCCGCCGTTCGCGACCATGACCTCCAAGCTCGCCCTCTGGCGAGTGCCGGTAGCCCACAATCAGCTTCTTTGGCGGTCCAGGGGAGGCACTCCTCGAAGCTGCCAGTGAGTTCAGTGGGAACACAAACGGAGAGGAATCGATCACAGGCTGTGGTCATTCAGATGGTTTCCTCACCTTTGGGGGGTCGCTGCGCAGCGGGGCCGCCGGCCTCATCCACCGACACTGCAGTAGAAGGCACCCGTACACACATCAAAGTGCCTCTCCCTCCCTGTGCGGCGTGTGTGTTTCACCTGGCTGTGAGAGAGCGAGCTCGAGGAGCAGTAGTGTGTTCAGCAGCAGCACAGCCAGCATTCCGTACGTATCAACTGTACACAGCCGTGCGATGAAAGACAGATGCGATCAACAACACATACACAGACAGACAGACAAAAAAGCTTCCAGCTGCACACTAGCCTATCGACATGACTGAAAAAGGCGGAATGAGCAAACAACAGGCCCTCCGGGATGAAATCAAGCCCTGCGAGAAAGATGCGAGATGATCGCTTGTGGCCAAGGGTTTCGCATCCTCGCCGAAGCATCCTCGCCGTCCAAGATCCTTGCCCTCGCCCATGTTTTTGGCGTGGAGCGTGTCGCTGCTCGTAGCATCTGCCTGGTGTTACTGGTACCTTCTCAGCCGTGGAGCGGTCAGCCGCACCGCACCTCTTTCACACGACTTCCACCGCGTGATCCGCATCAACGATGGCGCGGCGCAGAGGGAGGAGGATGCCGATGGAGATCCTTTGTCCGGCGACTTCATCAGCCTTCAGCCGAAAGCGGCGAAGCGCAAGGGATGGAATGTGATCCACTACCTGCCCGGGTCGGCCTGTGTTGCCCTCTGGCCTAAGGCAAGGAGGGACTCTTCACTCAAGTTCGACCTTCTGGCCACGTTCGAAGTGCTGCCCGCCCTCAGCGGCACGCCGGGCGCTGTGAGCATCCACCTCACGAGTGAGCCCGGGCACTTTCTGAGGGCGGACACGCAGTCGGCCGGTCGCTACATTAAGGGGCACTTCTACGGGAGCAAGTACAAGGCCTATCGGAGTCTCGCAGATGTCAAGGCTCCGCAGAGGACGAGCAGGCTCCACAAAGTAGGTACATGGCGCATCAATTCTCGAATGTCATCCGTGGAACAGCCCTCACTGTCTTTCTCTTCTCCCTCTGTTTGGCCCTGCCTTCCTTCCTTGATGCAGGAGGCGTCCTTCTTCATGCGGGATGTCGACGCGTCTTCGTCATCGGGGGGCGCAAGTGCGTCGAATGAACTGTCCGACGTTGCCTCGGATGAGTCGCCGTCTGACGACGAAGAGGCTGCCGCATCCGAAGAGGATGCCACGGTGAAGAGTCCGTCGACGCGGCGTGAGGCACGTACTGTGGTGTTTGAATCTGAGGCCCTGCCCGGCCTCTACATCCGCTATGGCAACCAGAATCTCCTCAGTCTGACCGAGGTGACGTCCCGAATCGCAACAGTCTCTGGCTCGCCAACATTGCGGCGTCGTCTGCCGTTCCTTGCCGGTAACGATGAGCTGGCGCGTGTGCCTTTTACCTGGAGGGTATGGCCATCTCGGCTGGTGGTGAGAGGGTACAGTCCCCTGAGTCTCGTCTCACGCTTCAGCCCACACGACACGCCGTCATTGCGTCCCGAGGACCTCCACATCAAGGCCATATACAGCATCTTCTCCCTTCAAGACAAGTCAGCCCATGTGACGCTGTTTGAGAAATTCGTCCATTCGGCCATGTTGACGAGCGTCGCTCTGCCCTCACGGCCCTCGGGCGGACGCGCATCTGTTCCGCCAGTGGATCCTCCGCTTGAGATCCGGGCACGCATGATCCACATGCAGGGCGACGGGACAGCCAAATCCGAGTCGTGGTAAGGCAAAACACGTCCACGATGAGCAGACAGCCACGTGCACTCACAAGACGTCCTCTTCTGAGTACCGAAGGTCTGCCCCTCGCCTACCTGGTTCAGGTTTCATGCGATAGCCAGCCAATCGAGGTACTGGGTGGATGTTGTTCGCGAGAACTTCCACTTCAACAGGAGCGAAGACTCGCATTCCAACGCCACTCAGGCCACATGTGTCATCGGCTGTGATGTCGACATCCAATTCTACCCGGGATGGCAGACAAAGGTCAAGGAGTGCCTGCAGCAGCACGACATATGCTTCCAAGTGAGCGCACCAGCAGACAGACATCCAGACACAAGAGCCGGCGAAGCACCCACAGCATTTCGATTGACCCTGTTTCCTCCGAGCAGCGCGAGGCGCCCATCAACACAGGCTTTTTCGCCATGCGGTGTAACGAGCGGACACTGCACTGGTGGACCAGCGTGCGGGACCATCTCGTCAAAGACCGGAAGGGCCGCTTCAACAAGGTGCGTCGAAAAGGTATTGGCAACACACATGCGACCTGTACAGGTGCCGTATGTTTTCTGTGTCTCCTTGCAGTGGACTCGCTATGTGTTGACGAGCGCTGAGGACCTCAAGATGAGATGGTCGACATTCAGCCACCAAGCTATCCTGCGAGGACGGTCTGCTGCAATCAACCACAAATCGACTCCAATGGTACGCACGATCTTCTGTTGTATGGCCCATTTCGCGTACAGGAGTGCATATTTGCTGCCTGTCGCGTATCAGATCCATCATGCCATCGGCATCAAGTCGCCTGATGCAAAGCTTCATTCGCTGCGGAAAATCAGGGAGAGATACCTCGCCACATCCACGTAAGGACACAAACCACTGACATGACATGTCCACTTTTTTCTGTCTGTCTTGCATCGTGTCTCCCATAGCAACCGATTTGCACGATTTGAACGTGCAAGTGGCGGGCTAAGGGGGGCCCTGCGTGCGCTTGGCGCGACAGATGGCGGCGGACAGCCTTCAAGTCCATTTGTGGTTCGTCATCTCGCACAGGACACATGCAGCATTTCCTTGCGGACAGGACCGGCCAGCCTTTCAGATAGAGCTTATGAGTCAAACGAGTCTTCCAGTGGCAGTGTCGCACTGCAGTGCGTTCAACGGACACATACATAAATGATTGAATCGTCCACGTGCACATACTGTAGGCCGACGGCGATCGTCAGGGCGCCCCCCACGTCGGGCCCCGTCGAGACCTCTGCCTTCCCTCCAGTTCGCTATGGTGGAGGCCTCCTCATCTCAGCGGCCTCACACGAGCGCTCCCTGCCCCCCTTTTGTCAGCCGCTACTCATCCGTCGGCCGCCCACTCGGTCAGTCGACACGGACGCGGTGCATATGACGGCACAACTCGGTCATCGCGACGCTGTTTCCATTGTGTGTGTGGTTAGGCGGGACGAATGTGGCTTTGTATGAGGGCCGGATGCCCTGGACGAAGCAGCACGCCTACCGCACCTCCTACCGTGAGATGTCGTGCAGAACAGCCGTCCCCCGAACCAGGCACGCCTTGCAACATCATGCAAAGGAGAATGTGCGTGAACGTGTCACG